AATTAGATTTCAAAATAATTACCTGCACTGTCACCTTTTCGCGACTCAAAGCACTCGAAACGACTCAGTCAGCAGTATCGTCTTGCGAATGTAAGAACCCCACGGTCTCGCTCGCGTCAACAACGATAGTGCGGAATATAACTTGTTCGATTTTTTTTTTTATTCGTGACACCCTACAAAATGTCAAATCTTGAGGAATATTTCACAAGGGACGACAGTGAAATAGAATATAGTGAATCACTGTCATCGGACATTGAATCAGAAGATTAATTATTTAACCTTCTGCAAAAGAATCACTATAATTTATTACTGTTTGCGCCTTGAATAGTCACTTCGGTGTGGCAAAAAAGTATTCCGCCCCCAGGGAGGGTCAGCGATAGCCGCGCTCCGTCCCTACGAACCGTTTCGGCCAGGAGTATTCAGAGCTCAAAAGGTTAAGACGTTATTAACTGGACACAGGTCACCCTAGCAATTTGTAATAGCGCCTCAGGGTCGCCACTACAGTGCAAAGGGTTCGTACTTTTCTAGAACGCTGCTTTGGCTTCCCAACGAAGTGAATTGTTTATCGAAATGTAAGATGAGTCATTTTCAAAATTTGTAAAATACTAAAAATAATTTATCTAGTTCAGCTAGCATTTTGTGCATTCAGTTGACACCGTATAAAAATGATTACACATGTTTCGTCTGGTTGCTATGTAAGTTCAAACTTGTTGTCAAACGATCAGAATCTTCCCGCAGGGAAACAGAAGTCAGCAGTTATTTCACAATAGGCAACGCATACACGCGTTATATTCTATTCCTTTGCTGCATGAACTACGCAAGATCCTGCAACAAGCCGTTTATCAATGTTAATCGCTCTAATAGATTGTGCGCCGCGAAAGAGAAATGGAAAACAACACTTACTAACGGTTCACTACTTGTCTCCCGATATCTCTGGATTAGGCTTTTCATTGCATGGATGTCATCATCATGAAGTAAGACATTGTGCATCTGACCAACTGGAAAACAAGGTTTAATGAGCCAACTCTAACTTGCACGTCGAACCAATTGATTATTAATACACGAGTACAAACCCCCGAGAAACCTTCGATCGACGCGTTAAAAAAACCATACAAATCGAATATAAGCACCTCGTTGCACCTTGTTATGATAAGTAACAGTTGTTTCTGAGTGAAAACCGACGTGTTGTACCAAGGGGTGGAATATCTGCAAAGACAGTCGAAATGAATCATATACTGATGATAGTCTGATTCGAGCGTGACGATATTCATTAATTATACATTTCACGACAATAATAAGTTATATAATAACAAGTTAGCATATAACATATTATATATTATATATAATATATATAATAATATATAAGTTATATATAATATTATATATATAATAAAATAATATGTTATAATAATATAATATTTTATATAATATATAATATAATATAATAATATATATAATATTATTATTATATATATAATAAAATAATATATTATAATATATATATATAATATTATGTATTATATATTATATATAATATATTATATAATAATAAGTTAGCCATACAAATCTCCAACGACTCCCATTAATATTTGAACACACTTTAACCCTCTTACGGTTAGGCCGATATAACTTTTTCTATCACCTTGATGAAATGAAATTCATCGAATCGTGCAGATAACGTTTGAGTTTCTGTCATATTTTTGTACTAATTATTGTACCCTTTCATATAATAAGCTTAAAAACATTGTGCCATAGCGAAGTTTCCAAAAATGTGCACGTATTTTTTAGCAGATCCTACAGGGTGTCCCAAAAATGTCTCGCCATCCGAGAATGGGGGGGTTCCTGGGGTCATTTGATGTAACTTTTTCCTTTGTTTACGAGTTATCAACGAAAAACGGTGACCAATGAGAGACATGCAATCTCGCGCAAACTGATCTCGTCTCTCATTGGTCTCTGTTTCTCAGTGTCTCAAGTTGCAACATAAATTCTCTTTGCCATATTCTTCCGTAGTGCTAAGTACAGTACTACTATTATTATACAGTAAATTACTACTAAGTAAATTATATAATTATTATTTATATTATATATATATTATATTATAATATTATATTATATTATATTATATTATATTATATTATATTATATTATATTATATTATATTATATTATATTATAATATATAATATT